AAAAAAAAAAAAAAAGGCCTAAATGGCGCTCCCAGCCCCATGTGGCTCTCAGGCACATGAAACAAAGTCCATCGAACTGAGGCTTGCTGTAAGCTAAAAGCACACCACAGATGGAAGACAGAATGAAAAAAAGGATGTCGAGTATCCTAACCGTGATTTACACTGAACGCAGCCTGAAATGGTCCTATTTTGGATAGACTGGATTAAATAAGATACACTCTTCAAATGATTGGCACCTTCTTCTTTTTTTTTTTTTTTTAACTGTGATTCCTACACAATTTAGAATTAATACTTGTGGCTATTTTTTTTTTTTTTTTGTGTGGCTTTTAATCTATTTCTTTGGGGCAGTGTTGACTTGGGCCAAATCTAGCCGCTTCAGAAAGTCTGCTTCTAGGGAGAGGGTGACTATCTGAAGGCTTGGTTTATAAAAAGGAGGTTCTTCTTACAGATATCCTATCATTCCATGCTGCAGGGGGGAACACCCCCAAACACAGAGGGTGTGTCCAGCTACACAGGTCTCTGCAGTCTCGGTGTCCTCCCTCCCAAAGGCGTGGCAGCATCTGGCCTCAAGAGTCCCTGTGGGTCCAATGATCTCACAGTTCTTATATGACCTGATAGTCCATTATGTCTTTTTAGTATCATCAGAGCAAAAACCCACCATGAACTTACAGATTTTGAGATGGTGAATCCGCTGCTGGGATGCACAGGTATTTAACGCCCTGTAAAATGATAAAAACAAAATATAAAGTTGATAACTCAGTAGACAAAAATATTTCAAGGAGCTCTTTACTCAGGTCAAAAAGCAAAAACATAAAAAGGAGAAGTTTTCTCACTCCTCTCTTGTTGCCAAGGAACTGCAGAAAAACTCTTTAATTAAGGTTCCTGATTATTTTTCATGACCCCGAGTACACATCCACATGGTTTAGTTTGCAAACAGCTTGTAGAGAGACAATCTTCTCAAAAAGTGAAAAAAGTCGAGAACTTTCCAGTAAGTGTCAACAAGTTTCAAAACGACCATCACAGATGCTTGTTTACATATTCCCCATTTTTTTTTCTTTCATCTCACTGAAGATCCTGAATGGCCCCAAAAGGAAGCACTGTTAGTAAAAATCTTACCATGATGACTAAAAATTATAATGTTAGGTTACACTTTTCTGTATCAAATTTTAGTATGAGGAAAGTTGCAATTTCACTGCTGCACTGAGAACAGTTCTACACATTGGAAACTTTGCAAATTGTTTTTGGGTTCACTTTTCTGTTGTTGGTTGTTCCAAAGCGTAAAAGTTTGTGTACTAAACAAAGACTTAAAAACTTAGTCCGATCCAGAAAAACAAAGTTCTCTCTGCAACGGTTTTGTGTAAACTCATGCTTCATTTGAGTTTTATTAAAACCCTGGCTATTGTTTCTCTGGAGAGGCTTAATATATCGTTTTCAAAAAGTCTTCTTCAAGTCTAGACAGCCCAGTGATCTTTGCAAAAGATAAGACCTCGTGAAGACTTGATGAGTCCTCCTGAAGCCTTTCCTGGCCTTACAGCCTGATGTCATTAGACCTCAGCACCATATCATGGGCAAGAAGTGGGAGGGGGCGTGAATGAATACACCCAAAGCAGCTCAGTCACTGAGCTCCGTGAGTAAATGAAGGACAGCGGAACACACGGCTCGGCACATGGAGGCTCATTGACCGTTAAAGCCTGATTTGACTCCCACAGGGACTTCTGCAGACTTATCAGGAACATTCCCACTTGGGGCTGCCCCACGCCTTTCCACGCCTCCAACATTTTGATGCAGCCCCACCTTGTGAACCCACTTTTTCAATACGGGATCCACATGAACTACATTTCTCAAGCTCCTGTGCTCTGGGGTGCAAGCTCGGTTCCTGGCTTCACCATCTGACACACCTACATGAGGCAGATTTGGAAACAAGCCCCCGGGTCAGATGGGTGCGCAGCACCTCCGTGGCCAGTGGGGCTGAGCACAGACGTGGCGGCCAGCAGGGTGCACCGTGGGTCCGGTGGCGTCTTGGCGCATGAGCCGAAAGCCTGCTTCTCCGCTCGTCGGAGAACATACAGGGCCTCTGACCAACGCCTTCCTGCTGAAACAAATCCACTGTGGAATCTGATGTATGCAGCCCAAACTCACAACCACTCCCCTTCTCGTCTCCCTCTATTAAGAGAGACCAGGATTTTTTTTTCTGCCTAATTCATCTATTTATGTAGGTAGGTGTGTATGTATACACACAAGTATATTCACATTCATAAATATTCAGAAACATATGTGTTTTTCTCCAGCTTGGAGTCAATCCTATTTTTTTTTTAAAGATTTATTTATTGATGCATGCAGAACTGGGGTACAGGCCAGAGGTGCAGGGGCGGTGAGAGGCTTCACCAGAGACAGAGCGGGGAGCAGAACAGGCAGATGGCCTGAAATCCCTTGCTGAGGGGAGCAGCGGGCGGGTCAGGAGAAGTCTGCCGCGCCCTGTGGGTCAGCTCTGGGGCTGGGGGTTGAACTCGCACTGAAGCAGCTGTGGTGAGCTTACCGTGCTGCATCCCAACCTGCTGCACCACCAGGGAGGGCCAATCATTGTATCTTCCAACAAAGACTCCTTTGGGTCTTGAAAAATAATTTTTCTGCACAGCTTCTTTATATGGAAACACTTCACAGAGCCCAAACAGAATTTCCATTTAAGGATCAGCAGCTAAAAAAAGTAAAGATTTCCCTGCGTCTAGTTGCACTTTCACACCCCAGTTGCCTTCTCCTGTCTCCGTCCTCATTTTTCCTGGAATCTGGGTGCTTCTGTCTGCTGCTAAGGCTGAGGAAGCTGTCTGAAGCACAACAACATTCCCAATTGTGGGGGCATCATTAGTGCAATGGTCAAAAGGCAAAAGAAATGGAAAAGGAAATGACACTAATGAAAAAAAAAGTCGTTTTACTCTGCCCTCCATCAGAGCCCGGCAGACCTGCCAGGCAGATACACGCTCGGGTCATTTCATCATCCTCCACTGAAATGACTCATTTACTTTTTTTTTTTTCTGTCCTCTTCAGTGAGAGTTGGCCATGGATCAGATCCAGAAGCTTGTGAAATACTCTTCCTCCCACATACTTCCTCCCACCCCTTGCAAGCCAATACTTCCAAAAGACTGGAAAGAGTCTCAGGGTTCTTGCCTCCCCTTCCACCATGAGTGTCAGCTAGAGCAAAACAGTGCAGGGAGCTGGAAGGTCCCGGCTAAGAGGACCAGCCTGCCTCCCCCACAGGCTGGCGGGCAGCCTCTCAGTCACACAGAATCTGAAATCAGTCCAGGCCAGAAGTTGGGAGGAAAAACCCAAAATGAGGAAAGGGAAGAGACTGGCCAGAAGGAGGCTCATTCCTCTCAGTTTATTAAGTGCTCTCACTTAATGCACTTAAGCCTCCTGCAGGGACTGGGGTCACAGGCTTCCCACCCCCACAATCATGGTGCCTCATGCCCAAAAGGAAAGGGGACCGGCCTCACAAGGCAGGAGCAGATGGCAGGGAGGCGGCGGCGGGGATCTCTCCCTCCGGCCTTCCATGAGTCACTGGAAAGAAGGCAATCTTGACCTGGCTGGGCCCCTCCCCTCACTAGCTGGGGTTATGTATGGCAGATACAGCTTCCCATCTAGGAAACTCTGAAGAAGGAACAAAGTAGCCATAAGTTGGGACATCCCTACTGTCAGGGCAGGACAGAGAAAACAGACAGTTTTGGTGGAATGACAATGATAACACTGAACTTCCTGGAAGGGGATACCCCGCAAACAGCAGGCACTAAACAAATGTCTGCTCACTGTCCCGCTAACACGAAGGTCACGGTCAGAATAGTTCCAAGTGCCCTGGGAACCCTGCAGCCCAAAAAGCTGGACCTCCCGTCACACCGTGGGAAGGGCAGACCGCACACACGTTTCAGATGTGTGTCTCCGCCTGTCGGGTTCACCGGGATGTGGCTGAGAAGCAAGATGGGGCCAAACTATGCAAATACAGCCTCGAGGCAAGGACTCAAAACTTGAAAAGCTTCAGCTGCTCGAAGCCCGAGAACATCTATTTATCTTGGCTTAGTCATTAATAAAGCACGAAAAAGATCTCTCGTTGGAGGTCACAGACTGCAGAACTCCAGCTGCCTGAAGAAAGGCTTCAGATGCCTGCACATGTGTGCTCAGCATGGCAGTTAATTACTAATTCAGAAAGAAGCAAAGGACCGACAGCATGAAGGACCTCAATGCTTCGAGAAAGCAGGATGGACCAGAAACAATCCCAGTAGTGATGGATCTTGCCATCCACCGATGTTCTGCAAAAGTGTTTAAGATGACAGAGATCAGAGTTTTTCATATACTTGGACTTACAAACGGCCATTCTCTAGTGTTGAGCTTCAGAGACAAAGAAAAAAGACAGTGTGTTCAATTAGTTGATGGAAATATAGCACATTTCCAGGAAAAAATAGAAAAGCCTAAAAATTACTGAGCCATCTGAAAAATTGAGAAGTGATATTGGTAACAGCTATGTTTCCACCAACACAGAATCTGTTATGTGGAAGTTACTCCTTCCTATTACCTCTACTCATCAAAGAAAAACCAGTTGTCTTCTTTGAAATAAAATTCTTACTAACTAAATGAAAAATTCACTAGTCTTCACGACATTTAAAAAATGTGAAAGGTGGAAAGTCAACTAATATTATGCCTTTATGGAGCTTATCCATGACAAAATTTCAGTTTAGAGAGCTGGCCCAAGAATGTATTGAATTATAAAAACAAGCTCAGTCAAGAGAAAGGGACTCAGTCTGGGCTTTAAGATGGTTAAAGAACAGTCTATGCTTTAAGCCCATTTCTTTTGGTATTTTGAAAGGCTGGGCATATGCAGAGCAGAGCACAGCACTGATATTGATGAGAGGGAAGAAAAAGGCAAAGAATTAAAAAGAAAAGTCCTTGTATAGACACTGGCCACATGTATATGTTGAACATTCATAATACCAAGTGACACATCAATTAGAATGACATCATGTGGGAGGAAATGAAAAAAACAAAAAAGAAGAAAAGATGTGGTCCACCAAGGAAAATTTTATGGCAGAAATTTTTGTGTCGGGTTTTGAAACAAAGAGGAGAAGGTCACTTGACTGAGAAGAAAGTTTAGAAAGTATTCCAGAGGCTCTACTTTGAACAAAGGTTAAAGCTTTCTAGGTCCATGTTCTCAAAAGTTCTAATATTTTTCAGTTTTCTGTTTCAACAAGCAGAGTAACCACCAAAAGTGAGGTTCTTACCTTTCTTTGGGCCTGAAACTAAAGATTACACTTAAAACGATACGTAGTCAAGGACTTGAAAAGCAGGACCGAGGTTCTGATTTCAGGAGTAGTAAAGAGATCAAACTCTCGCTTGTTTCAAGTCCAATTTCTAAAATTCACTGTTGTTTTCTTTCTGAACCATTGTAAGAAAGAGTCTCTTGAAGAACCTGGCTGGCCTTCTACTCTTCCAAAGGATGATCAGGCCCTTCAGAATCATTCTGTCTGTCCCAGGGGAGCTAACAACCAGGCACAGAAGATGACTCTTCTCTCCTTAACTGACAAGACCCATTCCCGACCTAAGACAAAGGAGAGGGAAATCCATGCAACGAGAGGTGAATGCAGCTGGTGCAAAAAAAAAAAAAACAAAAATAAAAACATACAGACATGTATGTACACATACATACACACCCACCCCGCCCTCCATATATATATATATA